GGGACGCCAGGCAGCTGTCGGGGTGGCGGGAAGCCTTGGCAGCTGCCTGGGCCTCCGCGGTCCTGCCAGCGCCCACGTGGAGTCAGTGGGCACGGAGGGGCCCGTCTCCGGCGGCAGAGGGGCACGCGGCGCTTCGCGGCCACCCCTCGGATCGCAGGCCCTGTGCATGCGCTGCGCTCAGGTGCAGAGGTCCTTGCTGTGTCTGTGGAAAAAGGCATGCACAAAAATGAATACCGAGCGCAGCTCAGAGCCAGGAAGAGACCTGGATGAACTCTGCAAACAGAAACACTTGTAAAGTGGCTGCTGGGCCCTGTGCAAGCTTTGCGGGAAATGGCCTTGCTGCGTTCATGATGTTGGACCTACACCAAACTTTCAAGCTAAGCACATCTTTTCTGAACCAAGACCTGTCACTTACCTCTCTCAGTGTCCCCCGCAGGATTTGGCTGGGTACCAAATGGCTTTGTTTCAATGCTGCTGGCTTTCTTCTTCGTTGTTAAATAGTTGTCCTGCAGCACCCCGGAGGAGTTTGCCGCACAGGCAGTGGGCAGCGCTACCCTTTTGTTTTTAAGCCAAAATGGTGTGGCTTCCTCCACTCCAAAAGGCTCCACAATCCAGCCACAGTTATCCGAGGCATGGATGTGTGTGGAACCGTCTGTTCCCTGGTTCTCATCATTACTGTGGAAAGTCCCAAGCTTCCAGGCCCAGTTACGTGACTCACTGTGCAGCAGCTCCCTGGATGCTTGGGAGCACCGCTTTACATTGTAGGAGTGTACGTCACTCCAAGGTTACAGTCGGATAATCCAAGCCAAGTGTGGATGGGAGTGCCTCTAAAACATGGAGATGGAGTTGTCTTTGGGACTTTCTTATGCGGGTTGCGTTCTCTGGCTGGACTCTTGCTATATAGCTCGTGTTCATGAACATGCTCTATGTGGAAGGAGTGGTAGAAGCTACTTTCTCAGCCACGCTCCTGCTCTGTACACTAGAAAATATATTTTCAGGAGGTCTTTAGCTAGAGAGCCTGTTAGTGTCCAACACAGTCTTAATTGTTGTCTTTTCAGTTGCTATTTAATCCTGGTTAATTAAACCCAGGGATGAACCATAAACTCGTGGTGTTTGTGTTTCCCAGCTGCAATCCCTCTGAGATCACAGGGGTGGGAGAAGATGGTCGCTCCTTTACCTGCCTCTTCCAGGGATGGAGCTGGCCACGTCTCAGTGCCATTCAGTGGGACACGTCCTCCATCTCCTGGTGGCAGGGCCACACTGCAGCCTGCACAGCACCTAGACACCCAGGCAGAGAGAAAGCTCTTGGAGAAAGGAGAGTGAAGCCTTCACATGTTTGTTGTCATCTGCAAGGCTGAGCCCTCCAGGCTGCTGGGGAGAGCGGTATTTTATCCAAAGGCTTTGAGTGCTGGTGGTCACAGGGGCAGGGAAGCAGTCTCTGTTCAGGGTCATGGACTCTGCAAGACTAGAAACTTTTGTCCTGGACCTGAAGAAGGTTTTGATAAGGTTATTGCCCATATTTCTGCCAGATGAAGTGCCAGCACTAACCAAGATCTCTTTTCCAAGGCTAACTAGAGGGGAGGTGATACAGTGAGGACAGTTTAAGGTGGGAGAAATGTTAGGGATTTTCTCTCTCCACCTCTAGCAATTAGCTTGTCAGTGTGTCCTCGGGCCTGTAAAGCTACTGAGAGTGAGTCTTTCTCTGGAGTCTCTAAGGAGAATCTTAGAGATCCTGTTGAAAGTATTTTTCACTGTTAATGAAAAAGTCAGGGGCAGGGTGAACCAGTGTTGCAGCTGCAGCTCAAGGCTCACAAATGCAGTTTTACCCCTACATCACTTCTTCTGTTTTCAGGCCTCTTGTAAGGGCCGAGAACTCCCCACAAGGAAACTTGTCTGCAGACCCTGAGGTTTATTTTTGTAAATAAGCACATCAGACACTCAGCTTTCTGCACCATGCATGGTCACTAACACTGTGGTAGTGGACAAGGTTCGTTCAGTCCAAGGGTGGCAAGGCTGCCTCCGGCATCACGGCTGTGAAGCATTGGGTATACGTGCAATGCGTGAGCACCACAGGCGTTGCACAGGCTCCTCAAACACTTTCATGCAATCACTTACCAGCCTTGAGGGCTCTAAATGGCCTACTTTTTTTTAAAAAAAAAAAGAAATATTCAGGTCTTTCCTCCACACTGTCTTTCTTTCCAAAGATGCCAGCTGAGAACTTTCAGGGTCAAGCTCCCTGTTGTGCCAGCAGCTGGGAAGCTGCAGATGCAGTTTGTAAGAGGAACCTGCACCTGCCAGGTGGTGCCAGCAAACTCTTTCTGCCCAAACTGCTCGGGTGGAGAGCTGCTGATTGCAGAAGCTCCAGGGCATAAACCCAACATGTGGCCACGTCACCAAATTGCAGCTTGTTGGCACAGCCTCGGCAGTCGCACAGGAGGGACACCAAGGCTCAGCTGGTGAAGGTGCTTAGCACAAGGCTGCAGGGTTAAGCTCAGTGCAAGAAGTTTGTTGCCTGCCCCTGACCCTCCAAGAAATTATTTAGAAGTTTGAAATTGCAGTGGAGGTGCTCTACCTTTGAACAGAACCATCCAGGGGAAGGCAGGAGGGAAGGAGCAGCACAAGGAGGGGAAGCAGCTTGCCCAGAAGATGGCTCGCAGCCCGAGTCCTGCCCCGGGAGCCTTTGCCAGCCCGTGTTGCTAACTCTGTGTCTCTGTGTCCTAGGTCTCCCTCAGCCATGAGTGCACTCGTGCCGTAATGAAGCTCATGTACTGTCCCCACTGCCGGGGCATGTCCAGCGTGAAGCCATGCAACAACTACTGCCTCAACGTTGTGAAGGGCTGCCTGGCCAACCAAGCAGACTTGAACACCGAGTGGAAGTACCTGATGGGTAAGGTGGTTGTACTGTTCACTAACAGCACCTTTCGGGCCCCCTGAGGTAGTGTTTGGAGAGTGAAGAAGTCCAGCTAGACTGCCAGGACAGTTATGTTTGGGGACTTTATAAGTCATCTCCCATTCTCCTAATTCCATAGTAATCATATTCCTTAATGCCATCGACGATGGTTAAATTTCTACTCCCTGCAGCCTTCTGCTGACCAGAAAAATTTTCTGTCCAACTGGTCTCTGCATCAAGCCTTTGTTATCAGCACAGCACCACTGTGAACCTTGTGTTTCTGCACAGACCTCACCTAGGCCTCATGGAAATCCTCTGAGGTCCTTCTGCCAAGTCCTGCTGTTAGTCTTTGCCAGTGCAAGGAACTAAGTTGAGTTCCTCACAAGTTTGAGGTGGTGGTGGTCTGTGTGCCCTGTCAGGCCTGGCTCCTGCTCACAGGAGATGAGCTGTGTGCCCCTCAGATCGCACCAGACCTTTACAGCAGTGTCACAGGTGGCACTGTGCGCTGTGGGGGGCTGGAGGATGCAGGAGATTGTTTTATTGTTAGTCAGCTAAGTGCCTGAAATAATTCACTTGGCGGTTTCATTATTCATGAATAATGTCGGCCGTGCAAACTCATGCTGAATAAGCTTTCCTATGACAGCAGACCATCTGTTGTGACAGTCTCCTGCCAGGCTGATGGGTGAAGTATCAGGAATTAGGATAAAAGAATTAATCACTGCTAATGAATCACTCCATTTGCTAACGGTACCATTCTTCAACCTAGACCTAGGGATTTGACCCTCTTTTTAGAGAGAGGAAGAATCAACATGAAGCCATCACAGTTGTTTTCCTCTGTATGGGCAGGCCACAGGAATGTGGAGCACACTCTGTTCCAGATGAAGACTGGCCACCACTGCGCTCTGCCAGATCCCTAGCCCTGCTGGGAGGTTTCTGGTGTGCCCTGGGGGACACTGACCACACTGGAGCATCTGGGGTCACACGTAACTGAATGCCAAGGCCCTAAATCCTGATGTAGCTTACGTGTGGCCTGGCCTCTAAGTTACTGAGCCCTAAATGCAGAAGTGGTTGGGAACTGAGTCCAAAGCTCCTCAGGGATAGACAGCAACTCAGCAGTGGCTTCCAGAACTATAATTTTCAGCTTACAAACTCAGACTCTGTAAAAATCCTATTTCAGATGCCTAAGCCAGTTGTGGCTCTGCTCTAAGATCCTGTTCCAAGTTTTGTTGGACACTGCCAGCCTTCATAGGCAGTGGCATTTCCCAGTGCCCCGAGCCAGGTGGGCAACTAGCTTGTCCTCACTTCAAACCCAAGCAGAGTGCTGGAAAGCATCTGGTGTAGGCAGCGTTGGTTCTTCCTTGCAAGCTGGAAGCACCACTCCAGCAAGACGGGAGCACTGCCCAGAGTCAGTGCTTAGACAGCAGAGCCTTCTGTAGCACCCCAGCAACTTCTAGTCCCTTTGTGTGAATAGAGGCTGCACGTGTCACTTTCAGGAGGTGACCTCTGTTCCTCTGCCATTGCAACCATCCTAGAATGGTGAATTTTGAATGCTGTCCAGTTCCAAAGAAAAATGAGCATGTGTTTGGGAAGAAGTGAGAATGGAGAGGGGTCTTTCAAAAGGCAGCCTGCTAAGGGGCCAAAGCTTATCCCACCCAGCATGAGGGCTTGTACAAAGTCTGCTGAAAGGGTGTCTCTATTGTGATTTTGCTAGATTCCCTGATCGTAGTGGCTGATCGGATTGATGGACCATACAACGTAGACACTGTAATAGGAACTATTCACATGAGGATTTCTGAAGCTATTTCTAACTTGCAAGAAAACAAAGACTCAATCACAGCCAAGGTAAGAGCATGTGCCTAGCCCTGACTGACTATGCACCGTGTGTAGTTGCTAGGGCTAATGTATTTGCTGTTCACCAGTCACCTGAATTAAGGGAGACGAGAGATTAAAAGTCCACTCTTCTAATGATGAGCAACCACCCGTCCTATATAGAGAAAAACCTTCTGCAGTGTTTTCAAGTCTTCTGTCAGTCACACCAGCCAGCTTCCTTTAGGTCCAGGCATGCAGGATGGTTCTGAATTTGCAATGCCTGTGGGAAACCTCATGCCGTTTGCTCTCAGGTGCCTCGGTGTCTGCGTGTAAAGAGCTTTGAAGTATTTCACTGAGCTGAGGGTTTTGCAGAAAGTGCACAGCCCTTCTCGGCGGCAGACAGCAGCTGCTACAGCCTGCCTAGGGGGATGTTCTGCAATGGAAACACGGGGCTCTCAGGCTGTTCTTATGGGACAGGCCTGCAATCTGGCAGTCAATCTGGAGACTGTAAAACAGGCTCTCCTGGTGCTCACCTGTCTTGCAAGGAGCTCGCTGCAGAAGCTCTTTTCTGTTGGTCTGTATTTTCAGTATGTTCATCCATTAACTGCAGTCCCCTCAATGGATACAAGTGTGGAATGCACAGCTTTGGCAAACAAAACAAAAACAAAAAGACCCCAGCCTGCTAGGGCTTCTGCTTTCTGCCCTACAAACACACTGTTGAGGTTTGTTGTCACCTAGAGGACTCTGGCCAAGATTAGGACTTCGCTGATGGCTTGTGGGTTCCGCTAGCAATAGCACCAAGCAGCTGCCACAAGCTGTGCTATCAATCCCAGCTAGCATTTGAGTTCTTGCTTTCTCTGCACTAAAGGGATTCTGTGCAAAGTCAGATTTATCAATAGCATCTGACTGCACACAGGTAATTGGACCAAACTTGGAGCCACCTTTTTGAATCAGATGGCCTTCTTCGCGAGGACTGTTGTTTCCTGAATCAAATGGACGTTGTAAAAAGCCCTCGTGACCTTGGACATTTGCTTAAATCTGTCTCTCCGAGCACACTAGTTACCACAGCCATAGTGAGACTCGGCTGCCTGAGCACGAGGTGTCTGCAGAGGGGTGTCACTGTGAACTGATCATGTCCAGAGACGTGAGAGACTGAGAGAAACAGGCACTTCCAAGGCGCCCCTCAGTTCATCCTAAAGGAGAGACCAGCAGAGCTGTGCCTTGAAGCACTTCTGCTCTCCACTGGCTAAAGGGAATCTGGGCAGGCAGTTGGGATAAGAGGAAATATCCAAACATAAGGAGTAAATCACTTTTGGCTTGGAAATGTCCAGCCTGATAGATCGTGGCATGTTTATGCTGCTGCCCTGCCTGGTGCATGCCTATTGCAAAAGTCATCAGAGGAGTCCCACCCTGGTCTGCTGTCCAAATCAGTGAACGTTGTGTGCTCCCTAACTTGGGAGCCCACACCTCTGGCGTAATGAATGTCACCAACTCCCAGCTTGTTCTTTGAAGACCTCCCAGAATTTGTTTTGAGGACAGGAACAGATAAGCTGACTAGAAATAATTTAATATCAACATCAGTGATTCATCCAAAATCATGTGCTAATTTTGTGTTTGTGTTGAACCTTTGGCTTAATAGTAGTAGCCAAGAGTAGTTCCCGTCTGCTTGAAAATAAATCATGGCACGTGAGTAATGACCAAAAACTAAGCCCAAGTCTCAGAGACCCTGTAAGTAGGAAATATTAATAAATAAATAAAAACATAACCACAAAGTGATAATTAATTAAGAAACGATTATCAAACCACAGGACAGAGTTGGGTTTGTTTTTCAGGTTTTCCAAGGCTGTGGAAATCCCAAAATCAACACAAAAGGCTCCAGTAGTGAGGATAAGAAAAGGCGGGGGAAGGTCACGTTAGAAGCAAAATCATCTGCGCAGGCGCTGGAGATGCTGGTGAGTTTGTCCCCAAAGCTCCTTCCCGCCGGCGCCGCAGCCGTGTGCGCGGGGGCTGCCTCTGCGGGAGGCAGGAGCATGGAGGGGCCACCCTCATGCTGGCCAAGGAGGGAATCACCTTCCTGCGGCTGTGCTGCTCACATAGGACCAGTCCTTTACGGACCGTTTGGATTCTGTGGGCCAGGGGCTCCGTAATCCCCGCAATCCCCATGTCTCTCCTCAGTCATGGACATCTGCCAGTCTCCTCTGGCAGAGCCCCGGGTTGAGGGCTGGTACTTACGGTAAAGTTGGTGACACTTCCCTGTCTACATGGAAGCAGGTTCTGTGATGGTGTAAGAAAAAATGAAGCCCAAATCCTTGTCCTTTCCCCAGCACTGCCCCCGCGGAGCTCTGCTGGCCCTGAGCACCCTCTTCCTCCACAGGTTTTAGACGCCAAAGGAAACCTGACAAATCTCAAGTCTTACTGGGTCACCCTGCCCAACGTGCTGTGCAGCAAGAAGGTGACGGTCGGCTCGGGAGCAGATGACAAGTGCTGGAACGGGATGACCAAGGGCAGGTATGTGCAGGGGGGCAGGGACACAGCTCCTCAGCATCCCGCAGCCTCTGCCTCAGCCCCTCCATCCCCACCTGCTGGGATAGAGCAGCGAGGTGGAATCCTGCCCCCAGGCCCTGGGGGACGTGCACAGTCTGCCTAGCCAACGTACAGAGGCTGCTGGGCAAGCCAGTGCCACCAGCTGACAGCTTCTCCGTGCTCCAAAATGGATGGGTTCTTGCTGGCATCTGTAATAGGGAGATGGGAGCCCAGTTTGGGAGAGGCACCACAGCCTGTTGCTTTCCTTCATAGTTACCTGCCCGAGGTGATGGGGGACGGCCTGGCCAACCAGATTAACAACCCGGAGGTGGAGGTGGACATCACGAAGCCGGATATGACCATTCGCCAGCAAATCATGCAGCTGAAGATCATGACGAACCGCCTGGGCAACGCCAACATCGGGAACGACGTGGATTTCCAAGACGCAAGTGAGTGCGACAGAAGTCCCGGGGGCCAGGGAGGGGAGCATGAGCAGGTGAGGGTGGCCTGCAGCGTCCCCATGGGGCCACAATGTGGCTGACCCCAGCAAAGGGGCTGCCCACAGCATGGCACGGGGTTCCTCACGTCTCACCCGCGTCCTGTCCCCACGCGCAGGTGACGACACGAGCGGCTCCGGCAGCGGTGACGCCTGTCCTGACGACGTCTGCGGCAAAAGACTCGCTAAGAGCCCCAGCACCCGGCCGCCCGAGACACACGCCATTCCCAAGCAGTCGGGACACGGCGTCAGCGGGGCCAGCAGCAGATCGTTGCCTTCTGCCTTCCTCATCCTCCTCTCAGTGGCTCTCTTGGCCGCGCAGCACTTGTGGCGGTAACTCACTAGCTCAGCCGGGAAAGAGACTGCGGCCGAGGGCTTCACTTTGCCAAAACCAACCACCCGACCGACCGACAAAAAGGACATATTTAATTCACCTTGGCAAGAAAAAAAAAAAAAAGAAAAAAAAAAAGAAAAGGAACGAGGGAGGAGAAAAAAGTTTCAGTTGTTTGCTAATTCTGGCAGTGCTCGGGCTGTTTTCTTCTTTCTTGGTCTCTTCCCCCGTGCTGGGCCCTCCTTTCCGTACCTCACTGTTTTAATTTTGTCATTGCCCCGGACGGGCTGCAGCGAGGCCTCCCGGGGCTGCCGTTCCTGCCTGCAGCGGGATACGCCATTCCCGACCCTGTCCCGCGGCGTGGGGGCCGGCAACAACGCGCTCCGTCGCACGGAGAGACTGCGACGGTCAGCGCTGCGCGAGCGCTGCATCCAGGGAGGGTCCGGGGGGTCCTCTGAGTTTCTTGAGCAGGCAGAGATGCTCCTTCACCTCCATCCTTGTACGTAGTAGGTGTGAGCAGATTTGGTGGGTGGAAGCGGAACAGTTTGGCAGTGGCTGTTGGACCCAGGAGTGCAGAACACCCTGTTTCTTTGGAAAGGCCACAAGTGGGTTTCTTGACTAGAGCTCGTAGCTGATGACAATGTTCAGTGTAGGTCTCCTACAACTAAGCGACTGGGAATGAGTGTTAGGGGTGGGGTTGGGGGGGATTTTTTCTTTGCATGCTAGTTGGAAAGCCATTTTTTTATCCCAAGTAATAATGACCCAGTTTCTACCTGCAGTGCAGTACCGTGGTCGGGAAGCGAGAGAGGAACGCGCACAGCAGGAGGCTGCACGGGACAGACAGACAGGGGCCGGTGCTGCCTCTGCCCCAGGCGCCCGTGCAAATCCCTGTTTTGGGTAATGAGAGAGAGGGGCAGAGGGGCCGGTGCTTCGCAGCCCTCCACGGTGTCTGTGCCCAGGAGATGGCCCCACAGGTAGCGCCCGTGGCAGGCGGGAAGGGGGGATGTTTGGGGTATTTTTCTTTCGGTGTCTGTTTTTCTTGTTGAATCATGTTTTTTGGAGTGAATTTCCCTTCCTGTTCTCCCACGTGCTCCTCCCTGCGGAGGGGACAGCACCAGGAAACCGCGACCCCGTTTCAGTCAGGGCAAGGGTGGCGGCAGCTCCTCGGACTGACACCACCGGCCAGGTGTGACCGAGCGGTTGTTCCCAGTCACGGTGACACTGCGCAGCCTCTCTGACCTGTGCTCCCCTTCCAGCAGGTTGAAACAGAGCTGATTTAGTGGGGTTTCAAAAACAGGAGCCTCCAAATCCTTCTAAGGGCAGTCCCAAGACCCACCAAAACCCAGGGGCAGAGACACACAGTACAGGGTATACACAGATTTATTTACTTCTACAAATATATGAAGTTCCACATTACTTTTACTGGTCTAAACAAATACTTTTTTGTGTGGTTTTTGAAACAATATTGCCAATAAAAAAATTAGCCTTCAGTTGCAAAAATTCTCACCCCCAATCCTGCAGAGATCCTGCAAACACAAAAGAGGACAGGGCATTAAAAAAATTGTACCCTCTGCAAAAGAAAAAAAAATGGGGAGTGGGAGGTTTGGGGGCTTCAAAGGAACAAATCCCAATGTTTCACTGTACAGGACGATTCGGAAGTCTTTGCCGTTTCCTTTTCCCTGCAGTGAGTTTGCTGTCAGCCTGTCACACTCCAGGTTTCCTGTGGGCGCAAAGGGGACCGTGTTAAATGCGAAGCCAGGAACGTGTTGTTGGTCCAGTTCATGTTTTAGACATCACATAATCACATTTTTGATCCTTTTGCAATAATATAACCTTGCAGTCCACACTGGTGTGGAAAAGCCGTGAGAAACAGTTGTTATGCAGAAGAAACCCTCCCGAAGACCAGCCTGTTTTGCCAGCTTCTTCCTCACGCTCCTGGTGCATGGCAGAAACACGGGAAGCCGCCAGCTCCCGACCGAGGCGCTGCCGGCCAGGGCTCTCCCTCCGTGACAGAGTCGTGGAGAGCCCAGCTGAAATTGGGACCAGTGTCCCCGCTCTGCGGGTGTCCCTCGCGCCTTGTGGCTTCGGAGGGGAGCGGGATGGAGCCGGGGCAGGGGGGCTTCGGCTTTCCCAAGGCGACATTTTGGGTCGGAAAAGCCTCGTTCTGCCAGGGGCTGCTGAGGGGGGGTCGTGCGCTGGGCAAGAGCACACGCGGAGCCCCGTCCCTGCTGGTGGGAGCGCCGGGAATCACAGACTTCCAAGGGTCTCTGTCCTTCAGCCTGCTCTTTTGTGCCATAACGTGTATCTTTTAACCAGGGGTGAGGGTTGTTAAAGGCTTCCAGAGCGCAGCTACTTCTCATTTACCGACAATGACAAACTGCCTGTTGTTTTCCGGTGGGCTTGGCAGGGGCTATGGTATAACAAAATATCTAAGGTCCACCTTTGCTTTAAGCAGATGCATTTCTATCTGCAGGAATAAGAATTATTTCACTTACTGGCATAGCTGGACAGTTATCTCTTTCTTTCTGTTACCAAGGTACTTGTAACTCTCTTGCACTGTTTATCTAAAGTTGAAATATGTTCTTTGAATCCTTGTATAAATAAAAAGGCCGGAGACTTAAATCTGTAGTTACAGGGCGGTTTTATTTCTTCTCCACTGAAGGCATAAGGTTTTTCCCTTTTGTTTTTTTCTTCTTTAAGTCATGGATAAAGGCTAGGTCAATAGCCCCGAAGAAGGGTACCTTGCTTTAAAACAGAGGGTTTGTAAAAGTATAGTGCAGATATTTGGAATATGAGTTTGCTCTGCATAATGTGGACAAAAACTGCCGGGATTTGATGGATGTGGAAACCAGATGAGCCAAATTTTTGCTCATCAGGGCAAGCGTGCTCAGGGATCTCCTGTCACGTAAACGCGCAGGAATCGGCGCAGGTCTTCGTGAGTGCGGCTGCTGGCTGGGCTCAGCACGAGCCGCCCCGTCTCATGGCCGGAGCGGTGCCGTGGGTTCGGGTTCGGGTTCGCTTCTCTGCCGTTCCGCCGGAGCAGGGGACTGCAGGAGTCACAGCAATTTGTCAAAGCAGCTAGTGAAATGTTTCTGCGGGAGACTTGAAAACTAGAAAATAGCAAAAGTGCACCTGCCTACAAGCAAATATCACTTAACTTTAATAAATTGAGTAATATCCTGAGTCAGTAGGTATTTCTTCAGTGTAATGTCCTGCAGTTGCAGCTATTTATGTCACATGCACGAATTTACATCAGTGCAAATAAGCATAGAAATGTTAAGCTAGTTGACTTCCCAGTCAAAAGATGGGGGCTATTTGCAACTGGAAATTATAATGATGGCAGATGTTAGTGAATTAGGAGTTAACGATGAGCTTAATAACATGTTATTATGAGCTAATGCTTACAGAAGACACAGGACTTGGAGACGGTTATCATTATTACGGCATTGCATACTGCTTTCTTTCCAATATACATTGCGTATTGCTTTCCCTTCCCATATCATAGTGCCTCACATAGGGCTCTCACCACATTACTGCTGCTGGAGGAGCAGCAACAGAGCAGCCCAGCCTGAAACCGGGGCTCATCCTTAATCACCGACCCTCCTTAATCACCTACCTCTCCAGGTAAAGAGGCCCCATACTCGCACCCATAACCCTCAAGTAGACCTGCTGTGCCAATATACTGCCAATACAGACCGTTTTATGGCCAATAAAAGGATTTTTCTTGTGGGGAAAGGTAAGTAGATCCTTTTTATTTCTTTATTATCCCTATTTTCTCTAATTGCAGTGAGGCACCCTACGTGTTTTTGTGCAGTCCGCCGGGACATCCGTGCTCACAGGGCCGTGGGGGCCCTATGGGCCCAGGTGCTGCCCTACCAGGGCCTCCGAGCGCACGGGGTTGAGAGGGCCCTATGGGCCTTGGTGCAGCCACCCGGAGTCTAGGTGCCCATGAGACCGGGGGACGCTACGGGCCTTGCTGCAGCCCCCTGGGCCCTCTGTGCACATGGGATCGGGGAGGCCCTACGGGCCTTGGGGCGGCCCTCTGTGGCCTCCATGCGCACTGGGCTGGCTGGGGGGCTCAGTGGGCCTTCGTGCAGACCCCGGGATCTCCACGAGCTCAGGGGGCAGCGGGGGGACTACGGGCCTCTGAGCGGTCCCCCAGAGGCCTCTGTGTGCACGGAGCCATGGAGCCACCTGGGGCCTCCATATGCACAGGGCCTCAGGAGGAGGGCCTAAGGAATTACAGAGGCCCCTCGGGGGCTCCATGCAGATGTGGTCAGGAGGGACCTGCAGTATTTTGAGTGGCCTGCTAGGGTCTCTCTGTACATAGGCCCTGGGGGGGCACTACGGGCATTCGTAAGGCCCATCAAGATGCACGAAAGCCCGGAGGACCCCCTGACCCAGTGTGCACGGAGGACCCAGGAAGCTGCATGAAAGTCCATAGAAACCCCCGGCACAGTGCGCCTGGAGACCGTACGAAAGCCCAGAGGGCCACCTCAGTCTAGGGCACATGGAGGTCCTTGGAGGCCACAGAAAAGCCTGTAGGGCCCCCCTGGCCCAGCGCGCATGGAGGACCCAGGAGGCCACACAAAACCCATAGGGCCCCCCATAGCACACAGGACCCAGGAGGCCACACGCAAGCCCCTAGCGACCCCCCCCGGCCCAGTGTGCACGGAGGCCCCAGGAGGCCGCTTAAAAGCCTGTAGGGTCCCCCCAGCGAAGCGCGCATGGAGCCCGTGTGAGTCTGCACGAAATCCCTGAGGGCCCCCTCCAGCCCAGCACACACAGAGTCCCTGGGAGGCCACGTGAAAGCCCAGGGGGCCCCCTCGGTGCAGTGCACACAAAGCCCCAGAGGCCGCACGAAAGCCTGAAGGGCTCTCACAGCTCAGTGAGCACGGGAGCCCGTGGAGGCTGCACGAGAGGCTGCAGCACCGCCCCCCACCCCAGCCCAGCGCACACGGATGCCCCGGGAGGCCTCATGAAGCCCCAGACGGTTCCCTCTGACCCAGCGCTCACGGAGGCCCTGGAAGGCCACATGAAAGCCCAGATGTCCCCCTGCCCCCACCCCGGCAAGTGTGCACGGGGGCCCCAGGAGGCCTCACGAAATCTCGAAGGGCTCCCCCGGCTCAGTGCACACAGAGTCCCCAGGAGGGCACATAAATGCCTAGATGTCTCCCTTGG